GGGTATTCATGTTAAACTGCGGCATGGTATCTCAGTGGGCTAGCACCATAAATCGGCATCAGTCCGGACTGGTACAAGCAGCCACACAAACACACACACGTACATGCACGTCGCTATATAAGTGCAATAATCTTGGACGCGACGTTAAACCCCATTTCACCTCACCTCACCTGATGACAATGAGGAGAACTTTACTCATGTGTGGTAACACATTCGAGCGGAAGTCAGATCTATGAATAAGACGTTGGACTAAGTCTATCAGGAATTAAAAGATGATTATAAAGTTTGCAAAAGTGAAAATGGACAGCTTAAAGCACAGCTGAAAAAACTTGAAACAGTGTCGGACAACAAAGAAACTCAAAGTGGTCGGAACAACCTTGTCGTGAATAGGATTGATGGTTCGTCGTCAGAAAGATGGAACGATACTAAAACTGTAGCGCGTGATTTCTTGGAGAACACTGTAGAGCTCGAAACTCACAGTCCGTTCAGATCAAACGTGCCCACCGCCTTAAATCGAGATATAGGGTAAGACCTATAATCGTCAAGTTCAGTTTCTATAAGGACAAAATCACTGCTGGAAGCTGCAAAAGAGAAACTGACAGATAAAGAGTGAGTGAGTGAGTGAGTGAGTTGGGTTTAACGCCGCTTTTAACAGTATTCCAGTTGTATCGGGCGTGTCAGCTTAATGTGGGAGGAAAACCCGAAGTGACGCAAGTATCAGACGTTTACCCCTTCGGTGATACCCAGGAGCACGGGTATGGTGCTGACAAACCTAGAAACATAATCGGGGCGAACCGGGATTCGAACCCACAATCATAGGTTTCTGGCGTGCCTAAGGGACGCAACTCTGCACAGCGAATCGCGGCGCCTTAGACGACTGGGCCACTCGTATGTGATTTTAAAACAATCCACAATGTTTTGCGTAAAATGTAATTGATTGATTTATGTCCCTTTTCAGTTTTATGTGACCATCACGCCAAAAGCGGTTGGCGGGTAATGGCAATACGCTCTAAATAAATCAGGTTAAAATCTCTAAGTATATACTTTTCAAAAGAGGTTAAGAAGAGTATGGTTAACTAGTCATTGCTGATTGTATTGCAAAATACAATCTTATAATTGTGGGTGTTCTATAACTTGTTTTCAGTAGTGTATGATGTTACAGCGTGTCATACTGTTGTCCGTAAATATTCTTTTTGACATTTGATTTATGATCAACTTGTATTATGGCTTTTCTCTTGTGCAAATCTACAAGTATATGTACTTGCATATAGTAATTTGATAAACACCGCGGTGAGTCAGTGAGAATAGTTTTACGACGCTTTTAACAATAATCCAGCAATATCACTGCGGGGAACACAAGAAATTGGCTTCACACCTTGTACCCATGTGGGGAATCGGAATGGGTATTCGGCGTGACGAGCGAACGCTTTAACAACTAGGTTACCCCACTATCCCCATCGCTGTGGCGTTACCACAGTTGATATGTGTACTTGTGTAAACTACACATAAGGAGAGACATCCTAATAACTATGGCCACATAATTAATTTTGATAACTATATAAAGTACTATGAATATCAATAACGTCAGGACCGTCTCCGTGGTCTAGTGGTAGAGCGTCCGCCCGGAGAGCGGAAGGTCCGGGATTCGATCCCCAGCCGCGTCATACCAAAAGACGTTAAAAGATGGTACTTGTTGTTACTTTGTCTGGCGCTCGGAATTGAGGGACTAAACCAAGGACTGGTCGGCTCGGAGTCAGTATACTGTGTCTGAGTCGGGTATCCATGTTAAACTGCGGCATGGTATCTCAGTGTGCTTACACTATAAATCGGCATCAGTCCGGACTAGTACAAGTAGCCACACAAACACACATACGTACATGCACGTCGCTATATAAGTGCAATAATCTTGGACGCGACGTTAAACCCAATTTCACCTCACCTATAACGTCAAATCAACTATGCTTCTAATATTTGACGTTCGTTCGTCACGCCGAAGACCCGGGTTCGATTCCCGACATGGGTATAATGTGTGAAGCCCATTTGTGGTGTCCCCCGCCGTGATATTGCTAAAAGCGGCGTTAAACCTCACTAACTCACTCACTCTCATATTTGATATATATTTGAGCCTATACTATAATCGGATATCTAGTCTCCTCAAGGAATGAGGTTTCAGGTTACTGGCGCTCTCAAAAGTCGTGATGATTTTAATCATTATTTGTTCCAGTTCAAGTTATCCTTTAAAGTTTCAGTTTTAAGATTGATTGAGGAACGGGGTGGTATTATGAACAAAATGGAAATATGAATAGCGACTATTCTGTTGAAGTCCGTGAATCGTGCTTATTTACTGCACTACAAGAACAAAAATAACATGCGTATATGGAAAATAAACCACATAGCATTATGTATGATATGTAACACATTTTCCATTACAAGATCTTGAAAACAATCTAATTATAAGAGGTAAAATAGCGCTGAGAATTATAGGAATGGATCACTGAATATCAGCAAAACCCGTTTTAATGTACGGCATTATGGGAAATATCGCTTACTCGCTCTATCGCTGCCCCCCCCCCCCCCCCCTTTCTGTCATGGCTAACCATGGCCATATGAAAATATCGGGTGCTCTTAAACTTCTTTTGAATAGTAGATATTACTGTAAATCTTGAAATTAACGTTAGAGAAAATGCAAAAAAATTAGAGCGGACTTAATTAATTAAACTTTTATGCCTCAGAAATGACTGTTGATAAGACGGCCCCACTGCACATACTGAATAGCGGAAATATCAACTTGAATATAAATCCAAACAACTATCTATTTCCACATCCGATTTATTGAGAACAATGTGTCATTCAAACACTAGAAATTACATGATGGTCATCCGGTAGTATTACCATTGCTTGGGTGAAGACTTCCACTTTGATGACATCTACTCCGCAAACAGAATAAATATTCATATAACCTAAGTGTTGTTTTTAGGAAAACACTATTGTTATTTAGAAAATACACTCCTCGGCGCTAATAAGCGGTGTTATTTGCTGTTTGTTTTGATAACTTGGCCTGGGGGCGGGGGTCCCATAAAACTCCTAAATAGGGCCATAAATCAATCAATTACTTTTTACGCAGAAATGCGTGGATTGTTATAAAATCACCTACGTCTGTACAGTTAAATTATGTTTGAGTAGTTTGGGAACATGTCAACATTCCCTCCATATGTAGAATTTGAAATGTGACCGGAAAAATCTCAAACTCCAGTCCACAACGAGGATTGTATTGTTGATGAAGAGGCGGATGTTGACCTACTTTAACTCGGTGAGATGTGTGAAACCGACACGTTTCGTGAACCTCGTGCAACGCAAGATGTGAAACAAATCGATTTGGCCTGTCTGTAAGACTTGTGCAGAGTGTGGAAACTCACATTGTCGATGGCCGTAAATCTGGAGATATAACGTGTATTACTCGTAACAGAACAAGTTTAATAGATTATGGCACTGTATCTTCCAGTTTGTTGAATCTGTATTGGATTAAGTTGTAGGCTCCAGAGGTGAATCCGATCACCTCCCTGAAACGAGTAGGTTTCAGTTTGAGTCTGTAGACAGTGTTGAAGTGAGGCGTGAGTGTGAGTTGGGTTGTTAAATCTATCCATATATTTACCGCTCATCATGTTTTAAAGAAAAAGAAATATACTTTTTTGAATTTGCTCAGAAGATGTGAAACAGACATTAATTTGATTAGTATATTTAAAGCAAAAAAAACTATTTCGCAATGTTTGTAATGATAAACGGCTAACAGTATAAAGATCGTCATGGAAGAGATTATATCTGCTATTGCTGACAAGGATTACAAAGTATTTTGGAGAAAAATCAAATCCCTGTTACATGTGAAAGAGTTCATGTTACGTCTATAACGCTCGATGTTTGGTTTGAATATTTGAAAATAGTTATTAAATCCAGGAGGTGTAGATCAGCAATCTGTATTTGACGACACTGTTGCTGATTTCATTACGAACAATGATACAGTAAACTACGGTTATAACGAACTCAAAGGGACCACTAACTTTAGTATGTTATAACCGTCGTTCGTTATAGGCATTTATACAATATAACAATAGCAAATAGTCGGGACAAAAAAATCAGTTCGTTATATCCGTCAGTTTGTTATAAGCGTGTTCGTTATAAACGTACTTTACTGTATTGAAGAATGTGCAAGTTGTGATAACTCGTGTGTTTTATCTGACGCAATTACTCAAGGGGAGATTCTCAAGACGATTAATTCTTTAAATGGGCACTGATCTAAAGCAAATCCCTGGGACTGGTTGTTGCCTTTGATATTGTTTTTTCCCATGAGTACCCGGATGTATAGAAGAAATCTAAACTAGTTCGCGACCCATGCTTGTCGTAAGGGGCGACTTCCTGGATCGGGTGGTCAGGCTCGTGGACTTGGTTGAAACATGTCATCGATCCCAATTGCGTGGATCGATGCTCATGATGTCAATCACTGGATTGTCTGGTCCAGACTCGATTATTTACAGACCACCGTCATATAGCTGGAATATTGCTGAGTGCGGCGTAAACAACCAACTAACCTTTTGCACAAGAGGCCGGTTCACTCAGACACTGTAATCATAAGCGGATTCGAAGTTATTTTACTGGGTGAAAACATGTTTTGGATGATTGTAACTTTAATGTACCAGTTGTCGAATGCGCCCCAATTTCTTGTGTTGTGTTGCGTTCCTTTGGAACGCCAGAAACCTACTGTGTGATTGTGGGTTCGAAATCCAGTTTGTCCCGATTATGTTTCCAGGTTTGTGAGCACCATACCCGTGCTCGTGGGTTTCACCAAAGTGGTAAACGTCTAAGACATGTTTGAAGCCCATTTCTGGTGTCCCCCGCCGTGATATTGCTGGAATATTGCTACAAGCGGCGTAAAACCATATTCACTCACTCACTCACGCCGTGACACAACTGGAATACTGTTCAAACTCACTCACTTGTAATTGTAGGCGCATCGGTTATCATCATGAGAAAGATACCCCGATAGGCTTGGATCTGATTGGCTTAAAAGGAATTAAAAGGTGAGTGTCACATAAAATTCTTTGAATTAATATTCGATATTTTCAACAAGTCGTACAACAACGTAGGTATTTATATGATCTGTACATGAATTCTTAAATACCATACACTTATGTATAGACAACGACTGATTGAACATTTCAAACTATGTTCGCTAAAATAACGCCAGGAGGTTACAGCAAAGGAGACATCTGAGTCAGGCAAGGAGAACACCTGTCGCCTGTACTGTTTGCAATATATTTTTTTAATAATCTCGAAGCGACACTAGTACAGGATTCATGTACAGGTATCCAATTAAAACCAGACGAATTCTATGATGAATCGAAAATATTATCACAATATTTTTTATTATTGTATGCAGCTGGCACAGTGTTAATAATTAACAATTGGTCGTGATCTACAACAGATGTTAGACTCATTTTATAGCTTTTGTATACATCAGTGGCTTAGGAATAATATCTATCATCCAAAACTGGCTCCCACAGGAGATATCGCTTGGGGGAAATCAAGCGATATCTATACTGTAGATATCGCTGCAAGAAATTGCATCACATTGCTTTGCAGACCATTGTGACGTCATTGGTTACCATGACGTCACAATCAAATGACATCACCAATGGCTCTGCTACTGAAGCTGTTAGCAGTACTTTTTACACTTAAGACACTGCTTATTGCTTTCTACAAACTGAAAGGGTTGAAAGAATGATGTTGGATGATAAATAAAATCTCACCCTCGTGTCTTTTGATATCAAATATATGAACACTCGTTGATAAAAGTGGAAAAAAATCCTCGGCAAGCCAAAACTATAATATTAATATCTTGTGGTTAAAAAGTGACATACATGTATATTATCACGTAGGATCTGGGCGTTAGTATCTAATTCAGCTCGTGCACGATATAGACACGCCGCGATATAACTGGAATACTGTTAAAAGCGGCGTTAAAACCAACTCACTCACTTTTACAATGTTGTTCGTTTTACATTTAAAGAAGGAAAAACTTACTATGTCCGTGAAAATATTAATTGTACTTCGAAAAACTTGACTTATGTTACACAATGTGCTGGATGCAAAGCCTAATACATTGGACAGACAGGGGACACCCTAAGAGCGAGAGTGAGGGTCCACCGACAGCAAATAAGGGACCCCTCTTGTCGGTGTATCCCACTCAGTCAACACATTGATCAATGTGCCGGGAATAAAGCACCAAATTTGGTGATATTCCCGTTTTACGAATGTGGCAATGATGCACCGAGAAAGAAAGTTATTTTATTAATACTTTCAAACCAAAATAAAATGGCCTGAAATAATTGATTTTTTAATACAATTATTGTACATTTTATTACCAATACAATACTTATTTCTGTATGTGTCGTACGCCTGCCCTATCGCCCCAAGTCTTATTGTGACGTAACAAAGTTAGATTGCACAATGACGCCATTATATGTTAGAGTGCACTGTGACGTCAAAGCAGCGTAACGGTAGACATAACTGTACTCTTGAAAATCCCATTCGTGAAACCGGTTGAGTAAATTGTACAGCTTATCTTTGGACTTTTGTATTTTATTTAAGGATTGACTGTGTATTCCTTTCGATACGAATCCGCGTAGAGGATTCTTACAAATGTCTGCTCATTGGTTTTTCGATTCACACCTCAATGAACCGAAAAGAATACACAGTCAATGCTTATAATCAAATTTGACCACGAAAACATGTTTTAATCAACAATAGTTTAACCAAAAACAGTTGTATATATCAAAGCAGACAAAAATGACGAGATTGATAAACATTCCAGGTGTAGGAAGACGTACTGTGGCGTGACATTAACCCCCTGGATGCCACAGGGACATATATGTCCCTCCTCTTCAACCCTCACTTTGAAGTGGAATAAAGTTCTACATACATTACGCACACAAATATATTTCACAGTGTTGAATTCTGTGGGAAATTCCCCGTTCGATGATATCATCCACTGCCATTTTAGGCAAAGCAAAATTACTGAAAATGACCTCTGAAATTAGGTATATCACAAATGTCGCCATTTTCTACAAACTACTAAACCACCATTCACAGCGTTATTTACAGCATTTCTTTTAATCTACATTTCGGATATTTGCTCTGAGAAATGATTTTCAAAAATTGCATATTAGTGATCACACTGCAAACACGAAAACGTCGTTTTTTTCCGAATATGGTCATTGGACGGGAAAACGACGTTATTTGGACGCTTTCAAACCATCGTTTTTCCGTCCAAATAACGTCGTTATTTGACATAGGAATTTACTGGGAGAGAACGATATCATCAAGCTCGTCCCTTTCTTGATTGACATTGTCAATCAAGCAACACGTCTACCGGTATTCCTACCTCTCAGATTTCATTGGTCAGTTCTCGCATGCTAGATTACAGGCCCGAGTTTGACGCTGTACTCGAAGCGCTTAGCGGAAGTACTGAAATCAATCGTTCTGCGCATGCGGATTGCTTAATGCCTTGTCCAAATTTTCTGTTCTGTGCATGCGCTATTTCGCGTATTGTTTCCACTATGTCACCACTTTTTGACAATGATTCATAAACACAGTCTCGTGATAAGTTCGGAATCGTACAATGTCGTTTTAATTTATGGCACGTACTTGATCGGCACGCATTTCCCATTAACTAATACAATGATAACGATAATAATTTTAGTCAAAATAATTAGGAAAGCGCAAGGCTCAGGAACGTCTGAGTATAGGAAAAGGATTAATACTTTCGAAAGTTATATAATCATCAAATACGCAAACGAATATCAACCGGCTTTTAAAACTTATTTTTGCAGAAGGTGATCTTGATGTATATTGCCAGATATTATATGCATATACATTTTTCCGATATTTGCTTATTTCAATGTTTATTAATAGTTTTAAGGTTCGTCCGCCTAATTGACGGGATTCCACTTTCTCATTTGTACATGACACTTAAGCAGTGTCCTGTTACTGTAAACAGATTAGTTTCAAATTCCAAACTGGACATTTATACTACGAGATAGTAAGCCTAACGCTTACTCACGGGTAGAACGTAGACAATATCGCTAACAGAGATATCACGTATTTGAATGTTAATACTTAAGACAAACACTCATTTGTTTTGTTTTGCAGTGACGATATAACACTTATACACGTTTATTGGTGACTTTCATCAGTGTTGCTATTCATTTTAATAACTTTGTTTTCACATATACAAGTAGCAATACCCGACTAGCCTGTCATACTTACTTACTGGGCAGTTTTCAATCTTGTACTGACTTACTCTGGTGTTCCTGAGTGAAGCTTATTGGGTTGGGTGTTATACCCCATTTTTCTGGTAATCCTATTATTACTTCATTTTTATCTAATGACACCCTGTTCTCTGGATCACGGCTACGTGACCTTCCATAACAATTAAGATGAACATTCAGATCAAGAACATGAATGAGTTTGTTTTGACGCCACAGTCAATCAAAGACCAATGCTGTGCGGCTTGATTACACACTTCTACCAGGTCGAACATCGTGGATCTTTATTTTCTACTTAAAGAGAATCATAATTCATATGCTTTTCCATCTACGAAAACCGTCCCGCTCAAGGTGACCTTACTTGTTGTTAAATCCATCATCTATCCCCTCACTCTCACCCCCACGCCCCCCCCCCCCTCACACACACATATACACACACGCACGCACGCACGCACGCACGCACGCACGCACGCACGCACGCACAACGGACCTAAATAACCTGGACAGGAAATACTGCTGATAACCTCTGGTCAACACCGCCGCGCTACCACAGAATGTTCGTCCAACTCTGAGGGGGCATTCTCAGTAGCTTCAAACGCGCTGAAATGTTTTCGCCTTGCATCCAAGATGGTGAACAGGTGAAATCGTATGATATTTGGCTATTTTGGGTCGATATGTCTTTTTGGATTACCCAATAAAGTCAATTCATGGTTACACGGTTGTGAAGAAGCTTACAACTTTATAACACTTATTCATCTCCATCTCCAATAGAGCTACTCGTACACAAATAAAGTTGTAGTTATTATGTCACTGTTTTATTTCTTTAAAAATATATTACGTGTTCATCAATAACAATTAAGATGAACATTCAATTTCCGATACAAGTAAATGAATAAGTGTGTGTTACGCCACAATCAGTCAAAGACCAAAGTTGTCCGGTTTGATGACACACAATCTACCAGGTACTACATTATGTTCACCCGATCCCAATTTAAGTCTCCTCTGTGTGGATATTTCTGCCGAAAAGCCCCCATGTACATGTACTTGGGAATCACATTAATACATTCATGCGCGGCATTCTCTACCTTAAGAAAATCATAGTTAACATGCTTATCCAACTCGAACTACCATCCCGCTCAAGATGAATGTTTTATGTAATATCCAACAGACCCACATTTACACACACACACAATTTGTAATTGCGACCACCATGTTCCAATCGTCTCAGTGATCGAACGATTGGGAAGTAATTGTAACTTGTGTAAACTGCCGGGCAAAAGTAAGTATGCACCCATGTTTGATGCTGGTTAAAAATGAAACAAACAAGAAATGGTTATTCGATGGAGATATATTTGTTTCGGGTATCTTAGGCGATACTACATGCATCATATGAATGAGTGTCTCACAACAGGTGACGTGCACATGCCGTCTTAAGGAACACGGGGGTCGCAATTTCACTGTACACAAGAGTGATATTAGAATGGCAGGCATTTTCTTTTGCCCGATTGTGTATATATATATCCTGGGAATATAATTTTACACAGTTTGAGAATTGGTGTCGTTATTTTCTTTTACTGTTCTAATATATTTGATACTGTACAGCAGTAATGAATAGTTTCCTAGACAGAAAGCATGATCTATGAAATGGTTTCTGGTAGTTCGTAACACTATTTGGACGACATCAATCGCATAAAAATCAGATCTTAGTTCTCGCTACCGCTAAACAAAGATCTGAGGACATCCCATTACGGGTC